GGACAGAAAAAACCTGTTCAAAAGGGACGGGTTTCACCTGAACTAGAAGGGGGCCAACGTCCTGGCGGAGAGATTTGCTAGTGCTATTTGGGAGCCTTTTAAACTAGTTAGGAGGTGGCGGGGTGGGGGTAGATCCTAAGTAGTGAGAATAGAAAGACAGATGCAGAAGGATCTGAATTTAAAAAAGAGTAAGTTAATTAGAAAAGACAAGCAAGAGCAAATCCAGCCAATGAGGTAACTCTGAATTAAGCTGCATTTCTGCCAAAGTAAGGGATCTTACAGGTAAGGCAGATGAATTCAAGATGTGTATAGGAACATGGGACTAGGACATCATAGCTATTACATAGCTGAGGGAGGGACAGGACTCTCGGCTCTGTGTTCTGGGGTTTAGATGCTATAGGAAGGATAGAAAGGGAGGGGTGGCATTTTTGATTAAGGAAAACAATTACTGCTGTACTTAGGATATTTCTGAGGGATTGTCTAGTGAAACTATATGGGTGAAACTCAGAAATAAGGGGATGATCACCTTGATGGGATTGTATTATCAGCCTCCCAAAAGTGAAAGGGAAACTAAGGAACAAATATGTAGAGAGATCTTGGATACAAGAATAACAGGAATGCATAGTGGGAGATTTAACTTTCCTAGCATAGACTGGGATTGCGGTTTTGCGGTTGGATGGTGAGGAGTTCATTAAATGTATTCAAGAAAATTTTCTTTATCAATATGTAGTCGTATATACCAGAGAAGAGGCAAAACTTTACCTTCTCTTGGAGAAAAAAGGTAGGGCAAGTGGTACAGTGGTGCAGTGGTTAGAACTGTTGCCTCACAGTGCCAGGGACCTGGGTTCAGTTCCAGCCTCGGGCAGGTTAGGTGGATTGGCCATGCTAAATTGTCCATGTTGGCCAGTAGGTGGATTAGCCATGGGAAATGCAGGGTTAGACGGATGGGGTGCATCTGGGTGGGAGGACTGCTGTGGACCTGATGGGCTGAATGGTCTGTTTCCACACTTTGGGATCATATGATTCTGTGAAGTGACTGAAGTACTAGCCAGGGAGCACTTTGGGACCAGTGATCATAATTCTGTTAGTTTTAAAATAGTTATGGAAAAAGATAAGCCTTAGTTAAATTTCTTTAATTGGAGTAAGGCAAATTTTGATGGTAAATTGCTGGAATAGACTGTTCACAGGTAAATGGGCGACTGGCAAGTTGGAGGCTTTCAGAAGTGAGATAATGAAAGTTCAAAGGTATTATGTTCCTGTTAGAATGAGGGAGTAAGATGGGTAAGAGTAGGAAAAGATGGATGAATAGAGATATTGAAGTTCTAGTCAGGAATGAGAAGGAGTCATACATTAGGTATAGACCATTGGGATCAAGTGATACTCTTCAAGAGTATAAGTGTGAGGGGGCATCCCATACAACGGGATATGAGAAAGCCTTGGCAGATAAGGTTAAGGATAATCCAAAGAGATTCCTGAAGTACATTAAGAACAGGAGAGCAACTAGAGAGGGAATAGGACCCTTAAAGAACAACAAGGAGCCACAAGAGATGGGAGAGGTACTAAACCAATAATTACTGTGGTGGAAAAAATGGAGGCTAGGGATCTCTGGGAAATAAATATTGTCTTGAAAGCAGTCTTCATTACAGAAGAGGAATTCTGGAGGTCTTAGAAAACATAAAGTTGTATAAATCTCCAGGACTTGATCAAGTGTATCCCAGGACATCGTGGGAAGTTAGAAATTGTAGGGTCCCTAGAAGAGATTCTGTGAAGTGACTGAAGTACTAGCCAGGGAGCACTTTGGGACCAGTGATCATAATTCTGTTAGTATCATCTACAGCCACGGATGAGATGTCAGAGGATTGGAGGGTGGCTAATGTTGTGCCTTTCTTAAATAAAGGCTGTAAACAGCCTGGGAACTATAGACCTGTGGGTGTGACATCAGTGATGGGGATTCTGAGAGGATTTACATGTATTTGGAGAGGCATGGACTGATTAGGGATAGTCAGCATGGCTTTGTATTTGGGAAATTGTCTCTCAAACTTGAGTGTTTTGAGGGCAGAGTGGTAGACATTGTCTACATGGACTTTTAGTAAAGCCTTTGACGAGGTTCCAGACGGTAGACTGATTCAATAAAGTTAGATTGCGTGGGATTCAGGGAGAGTTAGGCAATTGGATACAAAATTAGCTTGACTGTATAAAATAGATGGTGATGGAGAGTTGTTTTTTGGACTGGAGCCTTGTGACCAGCGGTGTTCCGCTGATGCTGGGTCACTTTTGTTTGTAATTTATATAACTGATTTGAATGATAATTTAGGAGGCATGGTTATTAAGTTTGTGGATGACACCAAAACTGGTTGTTTAGTCGACAGTGAAGAAGATTGTCTAAGATTACAAAGGGATCTTGATCTATGGGCTGAGGAGTAGCAGGATTTTAGTTTGGATAGATGCGAGATTGCATTTTTGTAAAATAAATAAGGCAGGACTTATACAGTTAATGGTAGGACCGTTGGTAATGTTGTCCAACAGAGCTAGTGGTTTAGGTACAAGGTTCTTGGAAAGTTACATCACAGGTAAACCGGGTGGATAAGAAGGTGATGAGCATGCTTGCCTTCATTGCTCAGACCTTTGAGCATAGGAGTTGGGACATTATGTTGAAGTTGTATAGGACATTGGCAAGACCACTTTTGGAGTACCGCATACAGTTCTGGGGTCCCTGCTATGGCAAGGATATTATTAAATTGGAAAGGGTTCAGAAAAGATTTGCTAAGATGTTGCCAGGACTGGAGGGTTTGAGTTATAAGGAAAGGCTAGATAGACTGGGACTTTTTTCTCTGGAGCATAGGAGATTGGCTGTAACCTTTATTAGAAGTTTATGAAATCATGAGGGGCATAGATAAGTTAATAGCCTAAGCTCTTTTCCTCAGGTCAATGAGTTCAAAACTAGGAGGCATATTTTTTTAAGGTGAGATGAGAAAAATTTAAAAGGGACTTGAGAGGCAACTTTTTCATACAGAAGATAGCAAGAACTGCAGATGCTGGAGTCCGAGTCAATACAGTGTGGAGCTAGAGGAACACAGCAGGTCAGGCAGTATCAGAGGACCAAGAGAGTTTGACGTTTTGAGTCAGGAGCCTTCATCTGGACTCTGATGCCCTGAAGGTACTGACCCAAAATGTCAACTCTCTTGCTTCTCTGCTGCCTGACCTGCTGTATTCCTCCAATTCCACACTGTATTGACTTTTTCTCACAAAGGTAGTTCGAGTGTGGAATGAACTGCCAGAGCAAGTGGTAGATGCAGTGATAGTTACCTGTCCAAATGTCTTTTTAAATGTTGTAAATGAATAGGAAAGGTGCAGTGAGATATGGGTCAAATGCAGGCAAGTGGGACTAGTTTAGTTTGGGATTATGGTCGGCATGGACGAGTTGGCCCAAAGATCTGTTTCCATGCTGTATGATTCTGTTAGAAAAATGAAACATTCTGCTGATTTTATACTGCTTTACTAGTCTGTGAACATGTGTAGTAAAGAATGTACATTTGTCATCTATTTCTTTTATTTGAAATCCGTATTTCAAATCAATTGGTTTGGCTGAGTGCGTATAGTATTATTGATTGAAAATTAATCCATTATGTTGAATGATTTCACAACAGGGCTCATGGTGTCATGAGACCCAAGATCTCCAAAAGATGACACCTCCAACAATAGAAAATGTCCCTTAGCACTATTATAATGCTGGATTAGATTGGGAATTTATGTTCTGCTTACAAATTCAGGCAAGAGTACCATCCATTGAGCTAAGGTGATACCCTCCTAAGGTTTAGGTATGCTAACTAAGCAAACAAAGTGAATTCTACATTTGCTTTCATAATTGACCAATCTATTTCACTGCCCATGGGAGTATTGGTTAACAACTTAGTTTTCTAAGCCATCGTTGTTATACCACACAAGGCTATTTTTCTATTAAAGTCTAGGCCAGCTCTCTCTAAGAATTGTTCCATCAATCCCATTCTCCTGCTCTATTTTCATAGCCACCTTTTATTTTTGCTGAAGTACCCATCAATTTCTTTTTAAAATTATTCAAGTGGACTGAGACTTGCAGTAGATTTGTTTTTCCTTCTTCTAATTGCATGTTCCTCTGTACTCCTTATACTGCTCTTTTATATATGGCAATAAATTAAACACTTGAAATTTGTAAAGCGATAAAAGCAGCACACTAGAAGATTTTAAATATAATTCTAATATTTATTGTAAGTATAAATGTGATTATTGGCAGGTTAGCTCAGCATGTATGTTAGCGTGAAGGTGGAAGAATACGTATCGTTACATAAATGCTGAAAAGAACCTAATTGTGGCTTAGGTCATGGAGAGTGGCTTAAAACATTTCCTGTTATGTTGCTGTGATCTTTAAACTGGCTGTTTTGGAGTACTAGGTGCATGTAAAATGGTAGTAACCAGTTTTGCAGGTGTGATGCCCTTCTGTGGTGTTGACTTGTGAATGTTTTCTAATTCATAGAAATTTCTCATTTTGAATATTTTTAACTAATTGCTATAGGACTAAACACAACAGCCAAATTTTTCACAAAGTTTGAAGTTGTAATATTCAACTAACCCACCCCTTAGGATAGTGAATATGTAGAATGGATTTGGGATTAATTGACCTTCAGTTAGAACTGTTGATCCCTCTCTGGAGAAGGATTGAGAATTGTAGATATTAACAATATTCCTTGAGTTCATGAAGGAACTGAATGTCATTTTCAAAGTAAGGAAGTTTTAAGAAAACACAGTGGGAAAACTCCATTAAGTACGTAGAAGGGTTTTGACACTTCTTTTTGTTTTGTATCTAACTTTACATTCTTTATAGCAACATTCAGGAATAATTAAGCTGTGAAGGAATTATTTCTGGTGATTAGATACTTGTACAAAATGTGATTCCATTTCTTTGAACGTTAAAGGAATCTATAGGAATGACCAGCTACTGTATGTACTATTGCTTTTTATTGCAGGGTGAAAATGTCCGCCCACTTTCCTTGTCAGGGCATGTTGGATTTGACAGTTTACCAGATCAACTAGTAAATAAATCTACCTCCCAGGGATTTTGCTTTAATATTCTTTGCGTTGGTAAGTACTTGAATATTTTTATTCCAATTCTGTAGTTGAACCATGGTCAGTGAACTAGTGATTCAGTTAGGCAGCTACAGAGATGCTATTTATTTTGAAGAATCTAGAAAAGGGACACAAATTACTCTGTTCATTATCTTAAAATTAGAACAGAGTGAATATAGAACTCCTTTCCAAGGCTGTGGATAAGGGTATCATCCAAGTCTGGGTAAATGGAGCTTAGGCACAGATCAGTCAAAGTCTGGTGAGACTAATTCATCATTCTATGGCACTTGCTCACTGCCCTCCTCACCTTCTCTTCTTACTCCATTGAGTCAGTCGTGTTCAAAATACACTGGCAGTAATGAGAAATGAAAGGCATCTTTTTAAAAAAAAAAAAACTAGAATAATTTAAACAATTGAAGAAAGTACTTCTATGGGATTGATTAATATTGAACATTAAATCATTTTCACTTGATTAAGCAAATGAGAAACTAAATTAAATCCGTTCTGAGGAAGGGTCACCAGACCTGAAATGTTAACTCTGTTTTTTCCTTCACAGATGCTGCCAGACCTGCTGAGCTTTTCCAGCAACTTTGTTTTTGTTCCAGATTTACAGCATCCTCAGTTCTTTTGGTTTTTTAGAAACTAAATTATATCTTGTTCAGTTTGTGGTTTTTTCCTAAAAAACTTCATTACAAAGAATGCCATATGGCTCAGGTCAATTACAAAGCCATGGAGAGTATGGTTTTTGGTGGTTTTTATGACTCCAGCTAATCTCAACTGTGTGAGAATGCTTTTGAGGTAAAAGACATTTTTTTTCCTTAAGGAGACAGATTTTAGTTTTGTAACTTGGAGTATGTGCAGGATTGTGTATGTTAGTCTTTTTATGTGATTATTTTAGGATTTAATTTTTTAAGATATCAACATTTATTGTAGAGTTTCATGTCGTTCTTTTTAATTAAGACTGCTCTGTTTTGGACAACATTCAGAAACATAAGGTAGACAACCAGGAGGCTGGAAGAACACAGCAGGCCAAGCAATGTCTGGAGGAAAGGAGCAGTCAACGTTTTGGGTATTGCCCTTCTTCAGACTGGATGCGGTGGTAGGGGGAAGCTGCAGATAAAGAGGGGTGCTGCGCTCTTCCAGCCTCCTATTTGTCTACGTTGGATTCCAGCATCTGCAGTGTTTTTGTCTCTAATTCAGAAACATAAGTTGGGACATTTTGGGGTAACATTAATTCATTTGGGGTGACACTTATACTTCAAGCAGATGCATAAATTATTTGACTGGTGCCACTGGTAAAGATCTTTTTGAAGTTAATAAGCGAGGAGCTGTTATAAAGACAGTCTTATTAAGTGATTAGCATGTCAAAGAATGAATTAGGGGACAATAGGAAGTGATGTCACTGAGGTAATCATTATTTTTAAAGAAACCAGACAGTAATTGGGCAGACACTGCCTTGCCAATCCAAAATTGACCATGAACTGTGGACTCGGTAGTAAGCTGATTGGAGTTCAGGATGTCTCTGATCATCTGCAGGAGTTGTGGCTAGAATGACTTAATAAGTGGCAACTCTTAGTAGTTCATGTACAAGAAGCAAGGCTGAAGGCAGAAGATGATCTTCAGGCAACAGAAGAGAGCAAGAGATTTGTGCCCAATTAACTAGTCTTGGGAACTGAATCCTAAGTTGATTGACTGACTGAAAATCATTGCTTTTGTTAATTATTGTTTTTGTATTTATAAAATATTTTTATACCTGGATAGGGTCTTCTGACTAATCAGAACTAGTAAACATTTAGATGAGCTTTCTCCAGCTTTGTCTATAATTTTAATTGCTTTGGATATTGCAATTAAAGGCACACGCATATGCAGCATAGAATAAAAGAATGGTGATAATGGTTGATTTGCATTGTTATCCAAGAGAAGGAGCCATAAGTGGAGTGTGTACATTTGAATGTCTTTTATTAAAGCTACGCTGTTGCCAGGTCTTTTTGTAAGTCCAATGATGCATGGCTAAGTTGTGAAGATACTGCCTTCATCCAGTGCTGGTGCTGTATAAGCACATTTGCTAATGAACTCCAGAATTATGACAGCTCAGAATCATTTGGTTGTCTGTGGCTGATGCCAGAGACTTTACTGATGTGAAATATTTAGTGGTGCAAAGTCTGAAATATATTTTTTACATTAGAAACATATTTTTAAAAAAAAAACAGTTCGAACTGTTATGTGCTGAACTGGGAGAATGTTTAAAGTACATATATTTACCTATCACAACATGATAACTATGGTGCTGAATTGACAATGCAAACTGTTCAATTTCCACCATATAACTCTCTCAAATCAAATTCATTCTACTGTGTTCCTTTTATGGGTTGGAATCAGAAAATGACTGTAGATGTTGCCAGGTTGTCACTAAAAACACACCTGTTTTACTTGTTTTCCAACAATGGGAACCTGCTATCTTTTGGTAGTCCAGTCCCACACAATATGATTGACTGACTGTCTTTATCCACAGGATTTTGTTGAGGTGGGTAATGAATGTTATCTTGCCAAAAGTTATCTTGCCAAAAGTAACCTTGCCAAGAATATCATTGATGCAATAAGTTGATATATGTAAAGTAACAGTAAATAATAAATTGAGTCTAGTATTTATTTTATGAATTATGCAGCTATACCCCATGAGCAATTAAGAGTCCCTTCCTGATCAATGCAAGTATCCTAAATTCTTTGATTTTTTTTTTTAAATGCCCAGCTCCTTTGGCTTATACTGTCTGTTCTAATTCTATCAGTCTTTACTATAGTGCTTAACTACTACCTTACCTCAATTACTAAAATTTTTTCCTCTCTAGTTCTGTAATCAACCTTACCACCCCATGCTCACCCCTTTGCATTTGAGGACTACAAGCCTGAATGCATGTGAAACATACTGGTTAAGTCATTTATTATTGTCGCTGGCTGAGCCACATCAAGAAACTAACATTTTGCACTCTCCTTGGTTAAATCTTCCCTGTGCTGCTGCTTTTCAAGTGGAAGGGGACCCAAGTGGCTATATTTCTTAAAATGCCTTTTCTAACACCTTACCCTCACCTGCGACCAAGGGCAAAGAATTTGTAGATTCTTTGACTGGAGGATCCATACAGCTCCTTTTGTTACTACACCCCCACCCCTATTCACCTTGTGCTTTCTTGTCTCCCTCCTAATATCCTACCTTTAATTGTTTGGTACTTATTTTTTTCCTCTGAGCATTGTGCTTGCTATCTGGTCTTGGCTGTCCTTCAAGTTTGTCTTTTTCCATTAGACTCGTGTGCCTTGATTCCCACACCTCAGTCAGCTCTTATGAATAGTTGGAAGCTGTCTGTTTCAGTCTGTCACATTGTGCCATACTTTTAAATGCTTTTACAAAATCCTCTAGTTTTTTTTTTAAACAATTTTCAATTGTAAGATTTTTCCTTTTCAGCGTCTTAGATCCACAGCACAGAAAAGGGCCTTTTTGGTTCACTGCTTCCATGCTGGTGAGGGGAAAAAGTCACCTAACTATTCTAATCCCATTTTCCAGCACTTGGCCCATAGCCGTGTGTGTGTGTTGCATTTTTGTCCATGTGAATACCAGTGTTCCGTTAATATTTTAAATAATCAAACCTTGTAAAGATTTCATGAATTTCAAATGACACAGCACAAAGGGAAGCCAATTGGCCCAACGTGCTTGTGTGACTCTACCAAAGAGCTTTCCAACAAGTCCTGCTCACCACTCTTCCCACATCCTTTCAAATCTTTTCTTGTGACTATTTATCCAATTCCCTTTTGAAAGTTGCTATTGAATTTCACCACCCTTTTCAGACACTACATTCTAGAATGTACTAATTGTTTTCATAGGAAATATTTCTTTCTGTCACTACTTGGTTCTTTTGCCAGTCACCTTAATCGGTGTACCCTTGTTACTAACCTTTCTGCCACTCGAATGGAGTATATATGGAAAACCTAACAACGCCTTTTGTGACAAATCCTTCAGTCAAATGTCCTTCTTGCCTTATACCGGCAGTTTTCCCCTGCATGTTTTTAAAATAAAGGTCTTCACATGCTTTCAAAATATGCTGCCCATAATTGAATGCCATTCCAGCTTGGGTCTAAGCGACGTCTTAAAAAGATTTAGCTTAGCTGTCTTGTTTTTTGTTTGATATTACTTAATAACATCAAAGGTACATTTATACTTTATTTTAACCATCCTTCTGAACTTGATCTGCTGTCTTAAAATTCTGGGCACATATGTTATGTGTCTGTCTGTTCCTAATTGTTGTTGACATGAAATTCAAAAGTGTACATATTTTCATGTTTATTTACAAGGATTCGTTTCAAACATTCTAAACCTAATTTCCTCGGTCCAAACTAAGTATATATTTATGGTGTACCACCTGTCACTTACTAACATTGCACTTAAACTTGGCTGCCTCCTGAAGCCCTGAGATGTCACAAACGTCAGCCTTTAGCTCACTAGATTCACTACACGTGGAACTAACAAACAACTGAAGGCACAAAGTACAGCAAAGGCTAGGGATCGTGACAGTACTTTCACTTTGGTAGTGAAGACACTGGTGTCTACCTGACTCTGGAAAAGTTCCCCATATACTATGTGTTCACAAAATAAATCTATCGCTAGACTATTAATCCAGTGATCCAGGGAATGATTTGGAAACCTGGGTTCGAATCCCTCTGTGGCAGATGGTGGAATTTGAATTCCATGAAAACCCATAATTAGGAGCCTAATAGTGATCATGAAACCGTTCAGTTGTAGGGAAAACCCATCTGGTTCACTAATGCCCTCTTAGGGAAGAAAACTGCCTGGTCTGGCCAACATGTGACAAATGTGGTTAACTCTTAACTCTGTTATGAATGGGCAATAAATTGCTGGTCTAACCAGTGACTCCCACATCTTGTGAAAGAATTTTTCAAAAAACTCAAGGAAACAGGTTAATAATGGTTTATTTCATCCATACACAAACAGTCAATCTTATCACTGCAAA